TTGAATTTTCCATAAGTCATATTCGGAGATTTCGGTAACCCACACTTTATATGGGAAACTTCAGAATCTTAGACGTGTTTTCTCAGACTTTCAGGCTATAGAGTACTAAACACGAGCAACGGAATTCTGCAGCGCTTATGGGTGGACTGTGGCTGTACACATTTTTCTGGTTTATATATGCTTGATTGTGGTGCTATTATTTAAGTTCGCGCGAACTTGTCAACTCTATAAAACTTAGGTACTTTTTTTTTTTATCTCGCTTCGGCGTTTTAGATACGTAGAACTTATTTTTATTATTTTTTTCAAGCAAATTTTGAGATTTTACGTGACAAATCTACAAAAGAAAAATTTTGGTACGACCCAGTGAAAGACGAGATCAATTTCGACCGCCTGGGAATTTTAACGTGCAACAGAAACCTCAGTTACACGGCGCTCTTCATCAATACCATCAGGGATGGGCAAAATACATGCAAATATGTATCGAAATACAAATGCAAAATACTTCGTCCAAAATGTATTTAATTACAAATCTAATTACATTTCCAAAAAAAGCATTTAATTACAAGATAAAAATACAACCAAAAGTATTTGGTCTCCTCCAAATACTTTTCCAAATACATTCCTCAAAATTTGCGTCAGCGACTTCAGGGCACCTGCAACGGATTTCTGGGTATCCCATTCTAATTTTGCATCGCACACTCGGGAGTTAGTGTGCGAGGCTCTAGTAACGTAATAGAAATGTAATCACAAAAAAATGTAATCAGCTTGGACGTAATAGGTGAAAAAAGAACAAAGCTTCAAGCAGCTTTTTTTGTCGATTACATTTTGGTATAGACCAACAAAGAACCGAGACGACCAAAACGCGCAGCACTAGCTGGAAAATTTTTTATCGTTGCAACTCGCGCCAGTTACGAAAATCTGGACGACTCGCGCATTTGGAATGTTTCAGGCAAAAATATGGATGGAAATCAGGCTGGAAAGCATCACAAGTTGTCACAGGCACTTATTCAGCCAGTCTGCCTGTGAACGTCGATTTCGTCACTCTTCTTGCCCTGGACTAGTACCGTAATCACAAAGTCACTAAACGCTTGTGCTTGATTGAGAGACACTGCATTCGGTGCAGAACGTAGTTTTCTTCCTGCTCTGGACACGTTTTAGGATGAGCAAAATGAGTCGTGACAATACATTTGAGAGATGTATTTTCGCCCACAAAATTGTATTTAATTACAATTGTATTTGAAATACCGACGTTTTAGTATTTAAATACACACGTCAAATATACTACCCAATCTGTAATTAAACACAAATGCGAAATACACAAAGTATTTGAAATACGTTTTTCAAATACTTGTATTTGAAATACTGCCCATCCCTGAATACCATTGATTATACTGATCACATTGATTACACTCTTGCCAGGGCTAGGAAAATGTTGTACTTTCTCCGTAGGAATTTTAAAAATAATCACGTAGGGTGAAAGGACGTTATATTCTTCTTGTAGAAGGGTTTGAAATGGGGCTTGTTGGTAGAACATATTTAGTGGTTAAAAGCGCGAAAAACAACGGACGAGTAGTAGACACACACACACCAGTGACACCACAGAGTGCTGCTTACAATTGGTTTTATCTTGGAAAAACACACTCACCGCAAAACTGACCCAAGACACACATCCTATTCACTTCCAGTCGCCACTCATCACATTTTCTGCTTTCACACTGCGCATGATCGTAGAAACGATAGCTCCGATTCGTACAGGGTCACTGATGGGGCCATTAACCGTTGTACTCTCCTTTACAATCTAAAATAAATAAAAGAAAAACGCTTCCGCTATCTCCCTTCTCTTCTTATTCTTGTTTCGTACCAAGATAACGGTGTTGTCGAAATAAGTTACGCATTCACACCTATTACAATGCACTGCTAGATTACCATAAGGGGCTGATCTTAACGACAGGACATGTTCCCTCAGCCTTTCGGTCACGCATCTCCCTGACCTGCCCCCACGTACTATCGGGGAAAAATGAAATGCGAACAGAGGAGTGCGTGGCTCGCGGTACAGGCTGCGCCGCCTGGAAGTGAGCCTAGGAGCGAGGGTGCGTGGCCTACTCCGACGTGTTCACGCCCCTCCCTCTGCGCTTCCCAAGCTTCAGCAGTGCTCCTCTTAGTGCGCTGAAAGCTATCACCGCTATCTTTGCTGGCTCAGCGCGTGCGGTGCAAAGAAGCTCGCCGCACTCGCCGAGCAGGCAAAGATAGCGGTGACAGCTTTCAGCGCACTGAGAGGCGCGCTGCCGAAGCTGGGGGAGCGCCAATCGAAGGGCGTGAACACATCGAAGTAGGCCACGCACTTTCGCCCCTAGGTTCACTTCCAGGCGGCGCAGCCTGTACCGCGAGCCACGCACTCCTCTGTTCGCATTTCATTTTTCCTCGATAGTACACCCTCCCATAAGACAGAGGGATTCTGTACAGTGTACACAATCCCCACTTGAAACCCACGTACTTTGTCACGTGTTTTTTTTTTTGTTTTTGTTTTTTGACACATATTTACCCGTGTTATATTGCTTAATTTTCTCGGAGCTGAGAGGAGGACCGAAATACCATGCTTTGCCTCCACCTTTTTGTCTTATGGGTAGCATTACCTGTTTACGGTATCACCACTGGTCTCTTAGCTGGCCTGTGGATCTCCCTCCTCTTCCCTTCTCCCCTCTACCACCCCTTCAATGAGCTCAAAGGGGAAGCTTCCCTCCTCCAGTATCCTCACCTGTAAACCGAAGCTATCGGCTATCTTGTGCGGGCAGGACTTCGATACAGACGTGTTCAAACAAGTCGTGGCTATGCCCCTCTTAATAATCTTGGAGGGGCAAGGGTGATCCTAGACAATCTTGGTGTGGTTGTAATAGGTGTGAATGTATACCTTATTTCGACAACACCGTCATCCTGGCACGAAACAAGAATAAGAAAGCAAGGGAGATGGCGGCAGCGTTTTTTTATTTTACGTTGTGACGAAGGTACTTGTGTTAGCGCCCCATCAGTGAGCCTGTATGAACCGGAGCTATCGTATTTTCTCATGCACAGTACGAAAGCAAAAAAAAAAAAAGATTATGTGTGGCGATTGGGAGTGAATGGGATGTGTGTTTAATCGGTTGGTTTCGCGGTGGGTGTGTTCTTCTAAATATGAAACCAGTTGTAAGCTGCGCTCTATGGTATGCGTCTCTTCTACTAGTCCGTCGTTTTTCAGAGCTTTTCACCCCTAATCATGTTATATTTTTCGTTTTTCAGGTCGATTCTAGAATTTGCGTGCGTCATCTGGAACACAGATTTACCATAGTACAAAAGCTAAAGAAGTTTCAAAATCAGCCGTTTAGGTTTGTGACGGCCTATAAACAAGTTGTACAGAAATGAAAAAAAAGTAGATTAGGTTGGGTCACTTTTAAATATCGGAGAAAGTGCGTAAGGTTGAAATTATTTCACACAGTGTATTATGGACGGACAGTTATTGAACGAAGTTTGTGTATATTGGAGCCGCATCACGTATCTGCAAGATTGGATCACTCGAAAAAGATGTCATTTGCGTTAACGAACCGACTGTTTTTCTTCATAATTTTTGTTCGAACTATTAGAGAGTGGAACTACCTTTCAGAAAAGCTAATCTCGTCTTCTGATGACGTTGTTTTTTTGTGTGTTTTTTTTTTTTTTTTAAGATTAGAGAGTTGTATTGAAGTATAGAAATGTATTCTTCATTTTTTTTCTTTTTTTTTTTGTGCAAGAGTTTTGAATATGTTCATTATGTGTTCGCAGTTCATGTACCCTTTTCATAATGCCTAACCACGCAGCTTGAATTTTTATAAATAAATAAAAAAATAAGCCTCCTTTGGCCACCTTGACTATGCGGGGGCAGAGTTAGCACATAGGTTGACTGCACGGCGGCTAGGGTGGGCATGCCCAGCTTGCAGCTGCTCGTGCAATTTCTAAAATGACAGATTCCGCTGACATTAATGATATTTTGTGCACGTTCTGGAGATTTAACATTAGTGATTGGTTTAATGTGATATCAAACCTACGAATATTGTATTTTAAGGCGGGAGGAAAAAAATGTCGGTTTTAATAAATGTATTATTAATTTACTACTCAGCGTGTATGTAGAGAAGGCCATTTTACGTAGGATGAAATTTTGTACTCAGAGTATTGAATTTGAATTTTAAACATGCTTGTTAGATTGTTGTAATCTGTTCCAAAGTTAGGTCTCTGTAATCGGCTTAAGATGGCTATGCACCCCGATTACCTGAATAACAGGAAATATATTGAAATATGCACAGTTTTCTGTTCTATTTCGTACACTTCAAATGCCATTTTTTTTATAATCTTGCTCAACGGGTTTCATTGATCTCCCAAAGCATGCACATTTATATAAAAATCAAAATGGGGATAATTTTTCGGTAGACACATGGGTAACGTGAGGCATGCCCAATCGGGGATGCACGGCAATACCTCATATCGTGAAAGAATGATAAAATGACCATGAACGGAATAAGATTCCCGGGGGTACCCATGTAGACTGCCCACATATGCCCACTGTAGGTCCCATGAGAGAAGCCCTCGTGGCCCGTGGGTTAACCCACCAAGGCCATCTGGGCCCCACGAGAGGGGGAACCATGCGGGCTGCCCACTTAGGCCTCCTGTTTGCTGCTCGTACTCTTGTGGGTTCTCCGAAGCAGCCCAGGTGGACTGCCCAAGAGCCCTACTTGGGCCCGACTAGCAAAACCTACGTCGGACCCACGGGGACTGCCCAAGTAGGACCCACGTGGGTCCCTCTTTCAGAGCCCACTTTGTACCACTTGGTGCCCGTTGAGGTTGACTAACTTTATGCTGTCTAAGCAGACACTCCACACAAGTACTCTTTCCTGAAAATGGAGGCCATGGGAAAAATGAATGGACGTTTGGCGACGTTGGCCGTAAAAAGCAACACTGGCAAGGCATAAGCATGCGCGCGTTGAAATTACCAATACCTGAACGTTCCGAGTGAAGCCATAGCCGATGATGATCTCCCGATACTTGGGAACGTCGTGAGTGCCCACGTAGAAACACTCGTAGCCAAACTCGAAGTTGACTTCGTAGGCCGCGTGCAGTTCAGCCTGGCCCTTGAGTCTCCTCCATTTGTCAAAGTTGGTGGCGCGCTGGTTTTTGTAGAAGGCCACCTGGTGGTACACTCTAAAGTCTTTCCTGGTTCCGGTTCTGGAAGAAAAAAAGAAAAAGAAATGGTTCATTGCGTATGTGTATTCAGCTGCGTAAGTTCCCATAGAACTACGTGTAGGTGGCACGAAAAATGAGAGAGAGGGGGTGATATATGAGAAGCCGTGACACCGAATCAGTTTCCCCGCAAAATTTTGCAGAAATTTTGATGTTACGTGACCCGCTAAATTTAGTGGGGAAACTAAATACGTGTACAGTTCACGTGACGTCAGGTCACGTGACATTACTTTCCTTCCAAAATTTGGCGAGGAAATTGAATTGGTGTACAAATCACGTGCCGCCAGACCATATGAGAACAATTGTTTCACCAAATTTAGAGGGAAAACTGAATTGTTGTATATGGTCACGCGACGTCAGGTTACACGACATCATCAATTTTCCAGTCAAATTTAACGGGAAATACGAAGTGGTGTATACAACACGTGACAATAATTTTCGAACCCTTCGTAGCGGGGAAACATAACTGGTCTCTGAGTCCCGTGACGTCAATTTTCCCTAGACTTGTAGAACGACCCCTAGGGCGATCTTAAGGACGACCTCTAGGACCAACTCAAGGACGATGTCGAGGATGACGTCAGGGTCTTCAGGTCCTCTGAGGAGCGTGCGAATGTGAAGGAGTGTGAAAATGTGAGCTGGAATGGTCTACTCCGCATACCTACTGCGTATTAAGAGGCCAGAAAGTTTAGTAGCATTGGTGAATGGGCTAGTTGGTAAAAACGAACAGCGCATGGACACGGACAGAGTAGAAGACAGAAGACAAACACGGCGCTGGCTTACAACTGAGCTTTAATGGATCTGACAGCGCGTATAAATACAAAATTTCCCGTACCAAAAGGAAAGCGAAACAACACTTAAGAAGGACAAAACGTGTTCCTAGAGTTATCTGCGCGCACTGTTGTTCTCCGATCTACAAAGAAACATGCTCTCCTTTACCGACAAGGCAAGTGACGTGGCACTAACGCATGCTGACCCCACTCGTCCGGTAGCGAGCGTTTGTGTAATGTCACGCATGAGTCCGATCCTTTTGTCTACTGATGGCCATACATCTTTCAAAGGCTGGAGTACATCCGCAGTCACGGCAGTGCACACCAAAATGCCCCGACACAACGTGTAACACAAAGTACCGGTGCTCTATTAACCGCTCATTTAGACAGCGTCCTGTCTGCCCTATGTATGGGCACGCTCAAGACAGCATCCCGAACATTGTCAGTGCATGCAGTGGAGCATGCTGCAGCTAACCGGAAGTCTACGTGGCGGCGTTCTTCGACATCCAGGCCCCTGCAAGCCCCAGTGGGCGCGGCAAAACCGCCGTCACAATACGCACTTATAGATAACCGTTACCCTCTTCCGCGCACCGCACTACCGGAGCCTTTGAAGCATGCTTTTAAGCGTGCGCCCGGGTGATGCCGTGACCGCGGGACGCGCTCTTAGAAGCATGCTTCAAAGGCTCCGGTAGTGCGGAACAGGGTAACAGTTTGCTAAAAGTTCCTAAAAAGGAGTTTCCGTAGACCGTTTCCCACTTCCGCAACGCTCCCCGGAACGAAGACGCCACCTGCGCATGCGCGGCGCTAGTCTTGCCTGCAGAGTCCCGGATCTTGTAGCGGGTAGCGGAGAACGTTGCGGGACAGTGGAAATCATATACGAAAACTCTCCAATATCGACCAAAAATAGTGCAGTGCTTCTTCTTATCGTTCAGGTTGGTAATTAAAAATCTTGTTACCGCTTATATGAACTTTATCTTGCCGTTCTTCCGCACCCACGAACGGTTTTCCGGCGCGTTAGTGATTGTATAGCCGTCATCAAATTATTATTGGGCTTTTGGAGGGTGCCGAGGAAAACCCAGGGCCAATTACTGTTGAAATATTTGAGGAAACGAAGCAGTTGATGGAAGCTCAGAAAGAACTTCTCAAAATATTAGTTGATAGGCCATAGGACAACATTCTTAAAACGGTTACAAAAGACAAGGGGAAGCCGACGTCTGCTGACGAAAACCTTCAGCAGCTTCAGATCAGAGTAAGTTGTATCGAAGGAAAGCTCTCTGATGTTGGTGAAACACGTAGTGCAGTCCGAGTTCTTCAAAATAAAGTAGGCAGTTTGCACTCTCAAACAAACTTTCTAGCACTAAAATTGGATGACCTTGAAACTCGTTCGCGAAAAAATAACCCTATAGTCAGAGGTGTGAAGCCGGGGGCAAAGAAACCGAACAAACTTTGCTGAATAGAGTTAATTGGCAAATTTTTCACGGTATTCTAGGGGAAAAGGCGAACTCAATTGAAAGAATGCACATATCGGCTGAGAAAGAGCGGTCCAACAGAGACCGCCCAGTTAGTATGAGATTCGCAGACTTTAGGGAAAAGTATACAGTAATAAAAAATTGGGAGCAAGATAAGTGCACCCGAAAACTTTTCAAAGAGCTGCTCAAGGTCCGCAGGGACTTTTGAATTAGTGCTACCGAGGAAAATAAACAAGGATTCAAAGTTGACTTACGATAAAATAAGGATTAACGCTACAACCTATTCGTCACAAATGCAACGTCCCCTCTTCTTTCCTGGCACGAGTGGTGTGAGCCGCGATTGACAAGAAGGGGAAAACTTGACAAAACTGGCCCTGACCGCGAATTCACTTTGTTAAACGTCAATGCGTGAGGTGTGGTGAACAAGGTGGTTGACCTTGAGAGCTTGATTTTAACTTACTTTCCCCCGGTCATTGTAGTGACCGAGACCTGGTTAAATAAACACTTTGCAGATGATGAAATACTTCCAATCTGTTTCCGTACTGAATGGGTTAAAACAGCGCAAAAAGGACGAAGGACCAGTAAAAGAAAACACACAGACACAGCGCTGTGTCTGTGTGTTTTCTTTTACTGGTCCTTCGTCCTTTTTGCGCTGTTTTAACCCATTCAATATGACCATCAACCAACTCGCCCACCTTTCCACCTTGTTGCTGTTTCCGTACGCTTCGCAAAGATCGCGATAGCCGAGGGGGAAGTGTAGCTGTGACTTTTAAAAATGATTTTCCAGTGACGAGGTTAGACGACATTCCTGAAGTATAGTACATATAATAAAGGCATTTCTCGCTGAAGAAAGCATATTGATAGGAGCATGTTACCGACCCCAGGTTCATATTCCTAGTTTTTTCCAATGTTGAACGAGTAAATTATTAACCATATTTTAAGTGAGCGCGACCTTATTCTTGGCGGGGGCTTCAACAGACCAGAAATTGATTGGTCATCCAGATTTCCGGTGCCACTTTCGCCGTGTGCTGAGCCTTTGGTCGGCATAGCGTTTGTTTTCACAATTTGACCCAGCTGGTGAAGTGTGAGACCAAAGGGTTCGGTTGTTCTAGTTCTATGTCAGACAGTATTCGTTAGCAACACTCTCGCCCAGAAAACTTCTACTGCAACAGTTCTTGACGCCTTCTCTGATCATAACTGTTTTATTGTCTCTTTCTGTTAGTAAAGAAAAAAAATGTAAAAGAAAAGTTTTGATTCTTGATTTTGCACGCGCTAACGATGTTGGTGTCTTTGACGAACTGACATTGCCTTTGACAGATCCTCAAACCTTGCTGACTTTGCACAAGGAAATGTGGAAATGTAGATGAGCCCTGACTCTTCTTTACGTCATTGGTTCAACTTTGCATCAACAATCATATACCGAAATTTAAGAAAACGAAACACAAAAAGAATCCATGAATGACTCGAGACATTATACATTTGGTTCGTAAAAAAAGCAAAGTAAGGCAACTTTGTAGGCGTCAAACAACGGTGAAGTTAATCTCCTTGGCAGCGTTAGAAAGCAAATAAAGCAAAGCTTAAACGTAACTAAACATAGATACGATACAGAAATCCTGCCGAAATTCATGCGGTCATCACCAGCTAAATTCTGGAGATATCTTTCGACGCGTAAACAACCTGTCGCTGGCCTCAAAGTGGCTGGAGTATAGATAAGTGACACTTCAAAGATGGCTAACTGTTTCAATGACTTTTCAAAATGACTTTCACAACGGATTGTAACGCGTGCTCAAGCTTTGACGTGCCGAAGAACAGCCCCCCATTGGACGAATTAACAATCTTTGAAGAAGGATTCTTTCCTCTGCTTTTCGACCTTGACATTAAAAAGTCTACCGAATAGATAACATCCCAAATGATTTTCTGCGCCGTTACGCTGAGTTGTGTGTCAAGTATTTCACTGTAATGTTTCGCAAATTTTTGGCAAGTGGGAAAATACCAACAGAGTGGAAGTACGCCAGAATTATTCCTGACTAGCCAGTTTGTAACAAATTATTGACCAATTTCGTTGTTGTGCACGACAGGGAAAATAGTGGAGCATGTTATATTCTAGCATATATCTTCATATTTCGAATTAAATAACTTGCTTAGTCGTCTGCAACACGGTTTTTGTAGAGCCCTGTCCACTTCCACTCAGCTGGTAGAAACAACTCCTTATTTTTAGGAGATTTTAAATCGACGCGGGCAGATAGATATAAACTTCTTCGATTTCTCGAAGTCTTTCGATAAGGTTTCACAGCCGAAGCTCTTAACAAAACCGAAATTAATCGTTAGAAATGATATGCTTATAACTTGGACTAGTGACTACCTGACCTCTCCCCGCGAGGCTGTTGCTATCGGTGAATACATTTCCTAACCTGTTTCTGTTGTCTCTGCAATGCCGCATGGATCTGTTCTTACCCATTTTTTTTTTATTTAGCAACAATATTTTATATGACATTTCAGTTTAGATTAATCTTTTTGCCGGTGATTGGGTTATTTACAGCTAAATCTCTACTCATGACGGCTACCTTCTCATTGACATATCTCTGGGAAAATTAAATGCATGGTGCGAACAAACAGTATTTTACTGGGCAATCGGGATCCGGACAGACGTGCTCCACTCGTCGTTTCGGATCAGCTCCCACTCCAAATCTCGATCCGGATCCGTGAAAAACAGCTCCGCCGATATCGGCGAATTCGACCGGAAGCCAGC